TCCTCGTGACCCCCACCCTTGAGATATTTGTAGGTGGTGATGAGAGCCCCTCTCAGCCTTCTCTTCTCCAGGCTGAACAAGCCCAGCTCCCTCAGCCTTTCCTCGTAGGGGAGATGCTCCAGTCCCCCCATCATCCTTGTTGCTCTCCTCTGGACTCTCTCTAGCAGTTCCTCATCTTTCTTGAACTGGGGAGCCCAGAACTGGACCCAGTGCTCCAGGTGGGGTCTCAGCAGGGCAGAGCAGAGAGGGAGGAGAACCTCCCTCGCCCTGCTGGCCACACTCCTCTTAATACACCCCACGATGCCATTGGCCTTCTTGGCAACAAGGGCACCCTGCTGGCTCATGGCCAGCTTGTCGTCTACCAGGACTCCCAGGTCCCTCTGGGCAGAGCTGCTTCCCAGCAGGTCAGCCCCCAGCCTGGACTGGTGCATGGGGTAAAGCTGTACCGTACAGCTGTAAATATTACATAGGCGGTAGTCTAGGATGGAATTTTTAGCTGAAAGAATGGTAGTTTCCCTAATGGCCGTGGCTTAGGTCAGCCGGTGTTGGATGCTTGCCTTTCTCAGCCTTGCTGGTCTGAGCTCTGCAGGCTTTCCTGGGCGAGCTTCTAGGAGAGCTTTACAACCTGTTTGTCTGGATTTCCAGTAAAAGGGCTGGTAGCTGCCTCAGTGGCCAGGCTGTGCCGTAAGTGTCTTTGATTCATCCGTTACTGGAAACGTTTTGATAATTCGCCTTGTTTGCACAGCGGTGCTCGGGGATTGGGGAGAAGGCTTGCTTTTGCTGTGGGCTTAAGCAGCAAAATGTAAATTGTTATTTTTGTCCCGAGGCAGGTTTTGCGTGTGGTTGGGTTGCTGGTTTGACGTTACGAACAAATGAATGTCTCCTTTTAAACATAGGGCACTCTTTGGTCCAGGCCCCTCGCCTGTCCTTTTTTCTGAGGTCAGAGTATGGTCTGGTTTGATTTTAGCTGTTCGCTATGAGTGCTGCAAATAATCTCTAGTCCTCATTGACAGGAACACAGGTACTCGGTTGATTAACAAAAATTCTCAGAAAATTTGAGAAAGCGGTTGGCTGGTTGATGTGGTTAGCACGCCTGCTGTCTCTGCCCCTTCTCTCCGTGCCCTCCTGCTCGCCCTAAGCCTTCTGAGCGTGAACTGGACAGATTAGACAACGTGCTGCCGGTCTCTAGAAGGTCAGGCTGCTTCTGAGATCACAAGGTCGCCAAATACGCTGGAGATTTAACTTAACCCACCACACGGAGGAGATGTGACGCTTAAGCAGCGTTTGCTTCCCAGACAGAAAGCAACTTAAAAGCGCAAGGAGTCCGTCGAGAGGCGAAAAGTGGAAACTTGTGTATCGGTCCCGTCTCTTGGCCAGAAGATGCTTTTTCTTCGGTGTAGGATTTTACCGTGGTGTTTTGTTGGGTTTTTTTTAATCCAGAGAGCAGCATCAGGTGCTTCATCTAAGTACCGAGAACAGCAACGGGTGTTTTTAAGGGCTGTGAAATGAAATCACGCGTTCCTGCCTCTCTGCAAGGCGCTCAGAGGAGCAACGCCGTACGCCTCTCGAGCGCGCTGACGTGCGCGCGCCCCGGCGGCGAGTCTGCGCCGCCGAACTCGGTGCTCTCGAGACCAGCGTGCTGGCTCCCAGCTGAACATTCAGGTCATCCCTGTAACCTCTGTCGCATGGGAGGTTTATGCAGACTAAGCTTGCAATGGTTAATTTTGGCATACAGTTGCCCTTGGTGGTATGTGAAGTATTCTGTAGCTTCATTGTTTCTGTCCTTCCTCTGGAGCTTGGGCAGAAATGTCAGCAGTCTCCAAGTGCTGTGCCTACGTGCAGAGCTTGGGGACCGGCCTCCGCTCACATTGCTTCATGAAAAGTGAAATTTCCCGCCTAGCCCCAAAAAGCTTTTTTTTTTTTTTTTTTTTTCTCCACAGCCTAAGCAGGGCTGACTGAGAAAAGGGGCAGCAGAGTTTTCTGCGTGAGCGGACGTCTGGCAGGGCAGCCCCTGAGAGCAAGGCTCTGCGGAGGGCACGGGACCCCACGGCACGTGTCACTGTCTGTGCGGGGCGACCCTGGTTTGGGCAAAAATATGCTTAGGAGAGGCTTGTAGAAATAGGCCTGCTGCGGTAGCTGGCTTTGATTTCTTGCCTGCAGGAGAAGCTCTCAAATATTTTCAAAACTGTGGAGATTTGCTTTGCGAGCGCTTGCTGTATCGGCGGGCCGTGCTCCCAAACTCAGGTGGAGTAAAAGATGTGAATGACCTTGCCTCGTCAAGGAGCTGAGCCCCTGTCTGTGGATCAGCAGCGATGCTTAAATTGGAGCAGGCCCTTGCTTAACTCTGCTTGTCCCAGCTCTTCAGAGTAAAAAACCGTATACCCATGCAAATGACTCAATACAATACGATGGGGCTCTTGGAGATCATAAATTTTGCTTTTCCTAGCAAGTGACGTGAGGGTCGTATTGGTGTTGGGGATGCATTTCCTTCCCCAGCCCTGGTTCCCATTTGCTCATGGAATAAGCTTATCCGATGAATAAAACCGAATTGACAAGTTCTCTGAAAAACAACTTCGCGCTGTTGCACAACACGAGTAGTCAAATGTAGAGAAGCAGGTTGCCGTGCAGTCAGAAGCCAGCACAACTGCTGTGATGGATCTTGGTAATTAGTATTTACTGCAAGTCGATTATGTCGCAGGTATTTTAATTAATGGGTGACTGGGAAAAATACAACCACCTGATGAGAAACCTTCAGAAGTGATGTATTTCTATTGTTTTCAAGAGCAGGGATCTCTGTCGAGCCCTCCACTTCAATGGAGTTTATGGAGTGAAATGAACCACTTCAGCCTATTCTTGACCAGAAGTCCTTGGCGGTCGGCTCGATGGCCCAGCCGAGAAGCGGTCGCCTCTCGAAATGGGCAAGGAGATAATAATAAGCCCCCGGGGTCTGGCTTGCCAGTGCCTCTGCTAGCCCGCGCTGGAGGGGAGAGGGCTTGCTGAAACCTCTCCAAAGCCTTTCCTGCGAGTTGGGGAAGCTCGGGAACCCTCCTGGTTCCACGTGTGGGCCAGGGTCTGTGGTTACTGGGGGCTCTCCGGGACGCTTCTCAGGTTTCTCCTGGTTTTGGGAGGTTTTTTGTGTAGGACTGTCCTCAAGTCCATAGTGTTGCAAACTGCTATTCCTACCCGTATCTCTTAGCATCATGCTACTCCAGTTTCAGCTAGATTTGCTTGTAGGGTGGAGAGATAGTAGGAAAGGGTGACAACTGTATTTCATAATTCAGCTGCCGCTGACTTTGACTTTTACACCTTTCCTGGCAGAGTTTGTCGCCTGTTCTGCTGAGGCTTCAGGGGAGGGGGGTGCTTTTTCTCCCCCTTCCTCTGCCGTTTCTGCTGCCTGTCTCCTGCCTGTCCATCCCCTTATAGCGTCGTAGGATGAGTGGCTTCCCTAAGGCCGGTCCTTGCAGGTTTCGAGTGGGTTGATTGAAGCTGGGCTGCTGCTGTGTGCCTGCCTCTGTGACCTCTCAGAGAGACTTTTCCTGTCCGTGTCTGCGTTTCCTTCTGACAAAAGCCTCGCTGGTAACAAATGCCACCTTTGAGTGAGAGTGTAGGTTCTCAACAAAATATTTGAGACTACTCAGATTTCCGTAGTAGAGGCGAGTCCCGGTTTTCTAATGAAATGCTTTATTGAATATTGCAAGCCTGCTTTTGCACCAAAGCAGCAGCAAGTACCCAGAGACTGGCGATGAGCGTCAGGAACCCCTGCGCACGTTTCAAAGCGCCTGCGATGACTTTGGCTGGAGGAGAACGTTGAAGAAGTTGTATTTTTATTTTGATGTAGAAAAAAGATTTTAAAACCTTTA